TGTTTTAGAAGTGTTATATAAATATATATAAATAATATACATCATCAAAAGGTCGTCAGAGAAAAAGGCAGAAAGATGGAAAGGATATTAGAGAAAGAACATGGTGTGGAGATAGACGAGTTAGGTTATACCATAATGAGAGAAGAGTTCGATGTAGCATAAAAAACTAGAATACTAAGGCGCCAGGTGTAGATGGGATACAGGGGGAAATTCTAAAACATACAGGACAAGAGGTTAGAGATCGTATGTTTAAGCTATTTAGTCACATTTACGAGACAGGGAAAGTCCCAGAGTATTATAAACGGAACGTGGTGTAATCATATCTAAGAAGAGAGGTGCGGGTCGGTGGGAGACATTTAGCTTAACATCCCATGCGTCAAAAATCTTAACTAGAATTGTACAGGGAAGAATGGAAAAAAGGGCGAAAGAACTAGTAGGGGAAGATCAATTTGGGTTTAGAAGAAATAGGGGAACGCGGGAGGTCATTCTAGCTTTAGGGGCAAGAATAGAGAAAACGATTGAAAAAGGAAAGAGTGCGTAAATAGGATTTGTAAATTTAGAAAAAGCTTTTGTCAATGTTAAATGGGACAAAATTTTAAATGTACTTAAAAATGTAGGGATGAGTTAGGAAGATAAAAAAGTGATACTTAGTTTGTATAAAGAGCAACAGGCAGTTATAGAGCTGGGGCTGCAATGTAGAGAAGTAAATATTAGAAAGGGAATCAGACAGGGATGCATACTGTGACCGCCACTTTTTAATCTATACATCGAAGACGCAATCAACATCATTAAAGACAGTACAACTGTAGGGATAGATATACAGGGGCAAAAGAATAGAATGCTTAGATTTGCAGATGATATAGCAGTATTAGCATCTAGCAATAAGGAGTTACAGATAGCTTTCAATTAAATGGATTAGGTACTGACAAAACAGTACTGTATGAAAATAAATAAAAGTAAAACATAAATACTGGAAGGAAAGAGCGAATATAAAGATAGGAGACGAAAAATTAAAAGAAGTGGCCGATTTTAGGTATCTAGGAAATCAGATAAGTCAGGACGAAAGGAGTACTAGGGATATATAGCAGAGGATAGCGCAGGATCAAGTCGCCTTCAATAAAAAGAAGTCACTTCTATGCCCACGAACGGATAATTTAAAAATTCGAAAAATGTTAAAGGTGTACGTTTGGAGTGTAGCACTGTACGGAAGCGAAACATAGACGGTGGGCGCGGCAGAAAAGAAAGATGATGATAAATCTAATCTAGGTTTATCACTACATCTCTTAACTCCTATTTCTGCCTCTAATATGTCTCTGACTAGACCTTCATGCCTGAGAAGTTGTCCTACCAACCTATCTCGCCTATTTTTTGTTGACTTCCATAGAGTCCTTTGTTCTCCTATTCTTTATAATACTACTTCATTTCTAGCCTTTTCTATCCACAGTATCCTCACCATTTGTCGGTAACACCACATTTAGAACGTTAATAAAAAAATAATAAACAATATACATACCTATATAAAAAAATGGATTTTCCTTAAGGTGTGTAAAAAATTGACTAATCGTAAAACAAGTTACGGCGAAAATCATAAAAACTTGTTTTTTAATTATAATCCAGTATTATGTAAGTATTGATGTTAAAGATGATGCTAATTGCAAATAACATATTAAAATTAAAAAAAAAACGTTTTTTCTTTAACGTAATATTAAGAAACACAATGGGAACAAAGAACAAACGAAACGGTCGTGTTGTCTTAATACGCAGTAGGAACTGGTCTGTTATTTTATGAAGAAGACCTTCAATCAAGGGCGAAACGTAAATTATGTTGTTCTAAAACCAATTATCTATTAAAGGTCAAACAGACTCGCTGTAGCAAAATATTGTTACTTTAATTTCATTCAAAAGAAGTTTAAAGAGATCATTACTACGGAATGGCGGATTCAAATTTTCTTTGTAACTGCAGAAAACAAAAATATTTTTTACAATGCCTTTTGAAGGAGTGATTCCAGTTCACGAATTGTTTTCAACACTCACGATTCCAAGGCGTGCTACGATTATAATACACGACTAAACTATCGCAGCATAGCTATTGTATACTCATGAGCTACAGAACGNTCTAATTACTACGTGCAGATAACAATTGATTTGCTGTCATTAAATAAGTAAATGAGTGTTGCATTTTATTTTATTTTATTTTTTCCTATACATTTGTAGGTATATTTTAGGAAATCTTAAATCATGGCGAAAAACGCATCGAAATCCGTGAAGAAATGATTTAGATATTCATTTTTTAAATTGCATTCATAAAATCCCGGATATTATGGCGCTAAGGAGGTGAATGAACTTGTGCACTTCCGAATTTTTTACACATCAAAACTAAGCGCCAGCAACCGGACAGGTGTTATCTGACCTAATTTCTTATTGGTCCTTCAATTGGCGCGAAGTCCATTGCCCAATAAGATGCTTGGAGATTACTTTTAACAATAAGACAACGCATTCTTGACTCAGTAACCCTCGATGCATAGGGAGGTGTACATCGTTGCGATAAAATTTTCTTACGTTAAAATTGAAATATAATAGACAATAGTTGTCAGTCCATGTCAATCAAAATTAGGTACTTAGTACATATTAGGCAATCAAGAATGTCATAATAATTAGGCGCAATAGAATAAAATGTAGGTTATCATTACGTCTGAACTATTTCTCAAAATAAGGTTTATTCTTCATGCTTCTGCATATAGTATTATTATAAATCATTAAGTTATAAGATTTTGAAATGCAATTGATGATAAAAGTTATAAACCAATAATATTCTGAAATATTGCATAGTTTTTAATATGTACAAATGCCTACCTTCGTTGATATGTGAAGTGGCTTCATAAAATTTGTGATCGATCTACATAATATTTAATTAAAATTAATTTTTTGCGGTTGATAATTTTTGTGTGTATAGCAAAATGATAGACTCATTGAATAAACAGGCAACTAATCTTATCTGCTGTAGAAAATGTGAGAGGTACATAGGTAACATGTATGTACAAAGGAAGTTACAATTTTGGAACATAATATAATATGTAATCACCAAAGTACCAAAATGACAAGTATATTAGTATATTTACGTTACAAAACCTGGAATTAAAAATATGTAATATGTTCAACTTTTTGCCTATTTTTTTGGTATTTTTCTTTTCTTGTCTGAATTTCTTTTGTGGTGTCCGTTTGTTTGATGTGGTTTCACAGAAAATCGGTAGCATAAAAATACCTTCAACCGCACGTGTTTACAAATTGGTTTTCAACGGTTGATTAAAGTTTTTGCAACAATGACAAGCTTTTAAAATAAAGGTAAATCATTATCACTCTTGCTTAGCTAACAAAGCAAATACTTAAAAGGTGTGAAAAAATTTCTTAATTTGTCTAAATCGAGTCTACAGTTAACATTCATCAGTTTATGTATTTATTCGAGTAACAAGCAAGCTTATTTTTGAAGCTATATATATTTTTACATCAACGTATGAGAAAAACAATTTTCTAGTAAAAAAATAACGAAATCGTCTACGAGAAAGTTTCGCATGGAAGGCCCTCAAAATTTTAATTAGTTCGACAGAAGTGCATTGAATGTAAAGGTCAATAAATGACCTACTAATAAAATATTGGACAGCGGTTTTAAGTAAAAGTGAAAAATCAAAAATTCGTGCACGTTTGGCACGTTTAAGATTCAAATTGTATAGCTAACAATTTCATTCTAGAAAGCGACGTTGCTTTTATTAGATATGACAACAAAAGGTGCAATACTTCTATTGTATTCCATCAGAATGGTCGCATATTTGCAATAGGTATAAGTAGGTAGCATAAATTACCTAATATAAAAGGAAATTAAATCAACTTTTTAGAGATATTAACAAGTAAATAGATCGCGACAAATTTTTATGTCTACAAACATAGTAAACCCAAATCGGAAGCCCGCAAAATGAATATTATCATAATTCCTTCGTGAGTTTTGTCTGTTCCTACTTTATGGCCCTAAGAAAATTAATCAAAGGAGACATTTAGACAGTATATAGAACTTAACACCCCTGAACTTATACTCTCTCGTAAGACATTATTTCAATTCGTTATTATTTCAATGGGAAAAGAAAATTTGCCCACCTTTTATAATGCGCTCGTTATGCAAGGCAGCCGTTATACAATACATATATAAAAAAGAAATTTTAACAAATACATGTGAGGCATGGTGAAATTTTTAATTGGTGAAAGATTCTCACACAACACCGTCAATTGTTTGTACACACATGAATTTGTTCCGGCATTTAATTCTCATAATTAAGTAAATAGTTTTTTTTTACGATAGAGTAATTAGGTTCAAAAACGTTGAACTAATGTTATTATTTATCCGAATATAAAAAATCAGTACGTATCACGGATTATTAATCTCAGTTCGACTTTAAATAAATGAAAAATCTCATTGTGGGGTGACCAATTAATTAATATGTAAATAATAATAGTGTGCCTACAATCGATTTATTATGATCATTACAATTACATTAGGTATTTTATTTATTTCAGTACAATACAAGTAATAAAAAATACGTTTAATGACAACATAAAAAAAAAAACATTTTAATGCAATATTTATGCACCTAGGTATAGATTTTAATTTTAGAAGAACAGGGCAGGTGCTTATTATACATGTATATAGGCGTCAAATTCAAAAACTTTTCAAAGTGCAGCAAGCAACTTTGAAATAATAGAATGAATAACAAATTTAAACGCTCATAATACCTTTTATTTATAAATATATTATTTATTTACAAAAAAGTATTTATTATGCAATTAACGAAATATTTCCTTTAGCATGCATTAATTATTGAAATGAGCATTTAATCATAAATAATATTCAGTACTCCTGCAATAGGAAATGCAAATGTAATTTATTTGAGGAAGTCGAACAAAGGCAGTTAATGTTAGTATGCAGAGTAATTAATAAGCAATAATAACATTACCTCATAGTGTTTTGGGTGCACATGGTTACAAAGTCTGTGGGCACTAATTAACGAAAAAACGTTCAAAATGAAAAGCACTGCACCGTAATTTTCATATTTCCAATAAAAACTGCAAGCCATGGCTATATAGAAACAATTTAAGTTAACATTGTAGAAAGGTTGAATACCGGTTTTATTCTTTTACGTCTACAACTCTGAGTGGTACTAACATCCTCCAACCTCAAACGCTACACACAACAGACTGATGAATTTAATATTAAATTCCTTTATCTCACTGTTGCCACATTGCCAATATTCACAGCTGACGACTGTATGTTGGGTTGCATATAGTAATTCACTATAATCCTAAAATTCATTTGTATTTTTTTGTATCAATCGAACAATAAAAAAATCTACAATTTAATTTACTTGTTTTACTTAACAATCGCCCTCTTCTAATCGGTTTAGATAAAAACTATATGTCTTTTTTGATATCTACTGTTTTATGTATAATTTTTACTTCTACCCCACAGTAAAGTAAGCAACAACCCCACACTAATTGCACAAACAACCGCATCCAATATAGTTTTGTTCTTACTTATAATCTGGTACAATTTCCAGTATATTTTAAAATTAATCAGCTCCAATAACAGCAACGTAAAAGCCCTTAATTTACAATAACCAAAACACTTTTACATTAAAAACCCTTTATTGTATCAAACATTTGCAATATAAACATATAACAAATAAAATACAAAAAAAAAGTGAAAAACATAACAAGGTAATGAAATAATCCTAACATTTACAAACTTGAGAATACCAAGTCTTGCTGTTATAACAGTTTTTGTTCTCACAGTGAGGGCATTGGTTAATAAATTTAGGATTTACAGGAATGTTGCTTTCTAAGTGAGTCTTTACTAAATCAGTCAATGTCTCTATGAAGAGGGGATGATCATTGGGGGCAGAAACACGTCGAATTTCCTCAACTCCAACCTAAATAAAACAGTTATTATATGCATAAAATGGTATATAACTGACGTGTTTGTACCTCCTCTGCCAGTTCCTTGCAGTATTCAATATCAAGTTCATGTAAAGTTTCAATATGTTCATTAACAAAGGCAATGGGCACTAAAACAAATGTTTTCTTCCCATTTTTTACATAGTCTTTAATAGCCTCATCAGTAAATGGGCCAAGCCATGGTAAAGGGCCAACTTTTGACTGCCAAACCAGTTGATAAGGGTTACAAAACCCCAATTCTTTCATTACCAATTGAACTGTAGCTCCTACTTCAGAAGGATATGGATCACCACGATTTACAGCCTGCAGAAAAACATTATTTGTTCATATATATACTTCTGCAGTCTGAACTATAAATATTAATCACTTTTAGAGGCAAAGAGTGAGCTGAAAATAGAATAATTGCATTTTTCCTTCCTCCATCTGACAATTTTCCTAACTCTTGTCTAATCAGGTCTGCAAACGTTTTTATAAGCAGGGGATGTGTAGACCAACGATCTATTAAACTTATCCTTACATCTTTTGGAAGTTCTCTACAACGTTATATAGTAGGGCAATAAAATAAGTTATTTAATTGAATTTTACACACAACCTGTTCTTATAAAAATTATAAATGGCATTAAAACTTGACCCAGATGTTGCACAACTATATTGTGGATACTGGGAAAACAGGATAATTCTTTTAACTCCATCCCTAAAAATAAAAGAAACGTTTTTAAGGAAAGAACAATAAAACTGAAGTTAGACTTCACCTCTCAATATCTTTCATAGCATCTTCAGTAAAGGGTTGTACATATCTAAATGCAACATAGTACTTGTAAGGTGCACCAGCTGGTAAAAGTTTGTCAAGATTCTTGCAAAGTAACTCCCCTTGACGTTGTGTCCACTTATAAATTGGAGAACCACCACCTATTTCCTCATACTTTTTTGCTACATCAGGAGCTCTTCTTTTAGCTATCCAGGGGCCTAACTGGCTAAAGTAATGATAGCATTTGCATGAAATAAGTTATCTGCAAACAACTTACTCTCCAAAAAATGGAAATTGAATCATATCCTTATCAGTCATGATACGGAGCAAATAATCAGGCACTTGATCCAATCTTTGGGGCCCTCCCATATTGAGCATTACTATGGCCGTTTTAGGATTTGATGAGCTTTCCACTGCATTAGAAAGTTTTCTCAATCCATTCAGTCCTATTAAATACAAATAAAACACAAATGGAGGTAATAAAAACATACACGTACAGAAGGTACAATTCTTGAAAAGACTTTAATAAGAAAAACTGCTATGTACGCTCACCTTTCAATGATATCCTTACAGGAAACATTATTAAATTACCTAAAAACAACTTTTAAACAATAAATTAAAACGAAAAATACTCGAAAAGGGATGAGTCGGTGAATTTTTGAATTAAGGTTAAGGTAGTTTTGACGTTTCTCTATTTACTGATTTGGAATTGGCTACCATTACAAGAACAGGGACTTTGGATGTGTCTCAAATGCATAAACTTACGCTACATTTAAACTGTAGAAAAACAAAATGGCCGTGCATACTTTTAAGGAATGTCAATATTTAAATAAATATAAAATATCCGCTGTTTTTGTTTAATCGTAAAAGAATTATAATCACCCAGAACGATTTAATTTACTCTTTAATTACATGTATCTTCAGGATAATGAAGTTTAGATATAACATCACGCAGTTTTTGGTCATTTCTTGGACCCCTTTTACCCTTTTGTCATGCATGTCTTATGCATTCCCTCCCCTCATGTCAAGGCATCCTGTTATTTGTACTTTGTTGTTGTTAGTGGTTGATTATTACTTTATCTCCGAGACCTTCTTTCCCCATTACCCTTTTTCATCTCTGTAGGTACTTCAAGACTCCCTCTCCCCTCTTAACGTGACGTGATGCTTTAAAAGCGACCACTTTTTTTTCTAATGGAAAGTTTGTTACTGATTACCTACACATAATTTAATGAGATTCTAATGTTGAAATTAGGCTTCGTTATGTGATTTTAGGTGAGTCCGCCATCGTCGAAAGAATATGTTAATATTTTACGAAAAAAAGTGTGTTAGTAGGGGAAGAATACATGATTTGCAATTTAATGGTCAACTCTAATTTGTAGATTTCTCCAAACACATTTGAATGAACTGTGAATATATGGCCCAAATGTAAATATTTCGAGAGAATTGTTAAACTTTTACATTGGCTCATATAATACACCTAAGTCACTTTTAATGGAGAAATTATGTCACGAACTTTAAATACGTATATTTGCTTCTGTTATTCTTACATGATTATACTATTAAAAAGGTAACGCGCTTATTGCCTAATAAAAACTTTTAAACCGATGCCTAAGTTTATTTTTATTAAAATAAAAATGTAGAACGAATAACTATTTAATATTATGTCTGTATGATGAATTGTTTTCTGTCTGGATTGTGTATTAAAACGATAATGAGAAATTAGTGAAAGGTACCGGACTTCGTCCTTGAATATAAGGACGATACGGTTGAGTACCTACAGTAAAAGATGAGGTGTTATTTATTTTTGAGAAGATCTGGATGGTCAGTAATGAGGTGTTTATGGTGTTTTGAGAACCATGTACAGATTAAAATACCTATAGGTACCCATACCGACACCGTTATGTGATTGGTGTATAGACTAGGTCACCGATTCTCCAGTTGGTTCCGTATACTCAAGAACTCAAGAAGTCCACTCTTAGTCAGTTCGAAAGTGCGTGGCCACACGTGATTATAAAATTTACGTGTGCTTTTGATAGTGCATTTCCTCTAGGATATAAACATAAACCATGAAGTGCATAGCGCTTCTGTTTTTAATTGCCGTATTGGGTGAGTACCATTTTTTCGTTTTCATCATCGAACACAAATTCCTGTCCGTACATGTACATAAATAATTGAAATTCTTTCCTCTATCTTTAGTGGTTATTTTCGTGCAATGGGCATGTACCTATAACATTTTGTAAAATAAATTCCTCAAGAGAAAAACCTTTTTGCATGTACCTACTGGTAGCCCTTTTTTTTGAGCTTCTTTTTCCAATTTTTCTAAATTATTGCCCATAATCTACTAACTTTAAATATTACGAACAAAAATACCAACAATAAGATACTTTTAGGGACTACATAACCAGCACATTATCATCTAGGTCAGTAGGTCTTCACTGCGGATTTCCAAATCAAGTTCAAGGACGCAAAAAATATCGCGCTTTTACTTCTCGACTGTTATTTATTAGAGTTCCCGTCTAATTACTACAGTTATCGAACAATGTACTAAAAATTCAACAAAGGGGACATTTTTAAAGTTACGTAATATTAAATTTTATACACTTTTAATTGATTATAATAAATTAAAATAGAAAAAACTCTCGGAAGACCAAAAAATCGAACATTGTATTAAATTTTATACACTTTTAATTGATTATAATAAATTAAAATAGAAAAAACTTTCGAAAGACCAACTATACAGCAGTTGTTTTTATTTGGGGACCAAACTTGTCACTCACTCATAAATCCAACAAATAAT